AGAGAGAGAGAGAGAGAGAGAGAGAGAGAGAGAGAGAGAGAGAGAGAATTAATGATTCTGAACCTAGTAACCTACATGGGCTCATTGGAGCAGTGTGATTATTCAGAGGCATTAAGAAACATGTAAACTGGTCTACCAGTTAAAGTAGTGGGTTTAGTGCATTTGATGTAGAATAACCTTTATTTTAATCTTTATTAATTGCCTGAGATATTAGAGAAATATTCTAAATTAGAACAAAGTGTAAATTAGTTATATTTCTCAGTAGAAAATTGTAAGATCCCTTTCTTGTTGATTCATAAATCCAAACACCAATGAGTAGCTTTATAAGTTCATTTAAAATGAGAGTATGAAATGTAACAATGCCACTGAGAGCATTAGGCCAGAAGAGTATATCAGCTATGCTGGATGTGAGGTCACAGGTGATTTTGAGCATGGCTGATGTGGGTCCTTGATCCTCAACTTATAGCCCTTAGCTATTCCTCCAGCCATTACACACATTTTTTTTAAATGATGCTGTCTGAGTATGTAAGTCTGTTCTTACACTTTCATGTCTCTCCCCTCCACTTTTTCACAGCTAGAATCACAGTGTGAAATTATATCTGGTTGGTTTTGCTTTCAGACATTTTGACTGGTGAGATGGACTTGCACTCTAGCTTAAAAATGGAAAGAAAATTCTTGAATTGGATACAAATATGAAAAACTTTCAAATCATTCTAATCAATTAATACTTGAAACTGATGTGGCCTCAAGAATAACATTTGTGAACCTCTGCACAAGAGTTTTTAAATCATTAAGAATGGGCTGAATAGCTAAAGTGGAGAATGAAAGAGCTCTATACTCCTACATCCCATCCCAAACGTACTTTTTACATTTTGAAGACCACAGGACAATGATCTTTACAGCCATTAAGTGTCCATGTCTGTGTGTGTGTATGTATGTATGTATGTATGTATGTATGTATGTATGTATTTGCATTTAAAGATGTTTGTGTTCTTATGAGCTGTTAAGTATCAACATACACACAAGTATACACAAGTATTTTTTATTACAGGGCAGTATTTAAGAAATGTTGGCCTTTTTGTTGCTCTTCAGAAAACCATAGATCTTTTGAGATGGGAATTTGAGACTCTTTATTCATGAGTCTTGAACGAAAATATATAAGACCATAGTGGGTAAGAATTCTAGATGAGCTAAGTTTTATATAATGACTGACACCCTCTACATGATCCGAGTATTGAGTTCTAAAAATTTAGTTACAAATTTGACTATCATAAATAATGAATGTTTAAAAAAAACAACATTTGAAGCAATGCAATAGAACTCATCTTTATTTGCCTGCTAGCAAATTGGAATGCAGCATTCTTCCAATAGCAACAATGAAATACACCAGTCTATGGCAGAGATTTTCAAAAGTATGCAATTGGACACATTATGGTAATATAAATTTCCATAAAAATGAGGTTGCATTCAGGTATTATTACAACATGTTACTATTCTGCTAAACACAGAGTTAAAAAGAAGCAAGAACTCTTGTATACATTTAGTTAATGACAAGTACAATTACATCTACATATTGAAAAAGAAGAATCATAATCAGTGAACTTAGCCCTTCTTTTTTTTCTCTCATTTTTCCTTTTCATTTGATCAGACACAATGAATTTGGTAGAATGGATTGTCACTACCATAATGATGACAGAATTACTCTCAGGAAAATGTGCCAATATCTTCATAATAGTAGTGAACTTCATCGACTGTATAAAGAGAAGAAAGATCTCCTCAGTTGACCGAGTTATAACTGCCCTTGCCATCTTCAGAATTGGTTTGTTGTTGTCAATGTTAATGAATTGGTATTCACATGTGTTTACTGAAGATATGTACAGTTTTCAAATGAGAACCTTCACAGGAATTACCTGGGCTATAACCAATCATTTTAGCACTTGGCTTGGGACCATACTCAGCATGTTTTATTTATTCAAGATAGCCAATTTTTCTAACTGTCTATTTCTTCATCTAAAAAGAAAACTTGACAGTGTTCTTCTTGTGATATTCTTGGCATCTATTCTGTTTCTGGTTGCATATTTTGAGGTGCTGAACGTCAAGAAGATTGCTTGGATGAATATTCATGAAAGAAATGTGACCATAAAGAACAAACTGAAGGATATAGCAATCGTGAAAAGTATGCCTCTCTTCAGTCTGATAAACATTGTACCATTTGGCATATCACTGATCTGTGTTCTTCTCTTAATCTATTCCCTAAGCAAACATCTCAAGAATTTGAAATTCTATGGCAAAGGATGTCAAGATCACAGCACCCTGGTCCACATAAAGGCCTTGCAAACTGTGATCTCCTTTCTCTTGTTATTTGCCACATACTCTTTCTGTGTAATTATATCAGGTTGGAGTTTTCTAAATACACCAATCTTCTTACTTTGCATGGCAATTGGTGCCTTCTACCCAGCAGGTCATTCTTGTATCTTGATTTGGGGAAACCAGAAGCTTAAAAAAGTCCTTCTGTTTGTTCTGAGGCAAATGAGATGTTGACTAAAAAAATAAAAGGAAGTGTATGCAAGAAGCAGTATAGATAAATGTCAGATGAATACAGATAATCATAAAGATGGGAAAGAAACAATTCTTTTATAACAATAATGAAACTCATTTCCTAAAATTCTTTACATAAAAATGAAACACATGTTTAGAAGCTAAACACAGATTTTACCTATTTCAGGCAATTGCTCTAATGTTGATCTTAAAATATTATAAGGGCGATTAATTGTCCATCATTTCTTAATTTTACATCATCAAAATTTATATTAATCTTAACCAAGGAAGACTCTGACTTTCCATTTTTAAAAAGTATAACCATTGAAAACAATACAGAAATCATAATGCATGATTTTCCTAGTGAAACCACCTCTATTAAAACTATACAAGGCAAGTATAGGGAATATACTGAAGATCTGGTTTCTCATAGTCTTGAATAAAATGCAGAAATTAGAGAAATGTGTTGATATAATCACTGGTGGATAGTTTTATTGGAGTGGTTGAAAAAAGTCAATTATTGAGTCCTTTGTGATGAAGTAAGAATTTCTGTCTTAAAATGTTTTCCTGGAAGCTGTTTCATAAGAGGATGTTTTGCTGAAGCATAAACAATATGAGATGATGTTTTGCTGAGAACAAATGTGTTGTTTTTCTGAATGCTATTTGGTGAAATGGCATGTGATTTTGCTAGAGCAGACTCTTGAGAGGACACAGGAAGTTTAGAAAGAGTATAAGTATAACCCAACGGACAGAAACTGACACTTCTGCAATGGTTCTCCTTGCTTTCTTTATTGATCTTCGTTCGTCATGATTTCACAGAGAGAAATATACCAAAGAACTTCTTGTGTATTGTGCTGTTTCTTGCCACTTCCAAGGACTTATGCAGATCAGTGGAGCTTTGTGGTTTCTTCTGGATGGAGCTGCTACTGCTGATTCATGTTTGGAGATTGAGAACTGCAATTGCTCATTTGTGTTTGGTGTTTTGCTAGTGGACTGGACTTCAGACAATGAAGATTGAAATTGCCCCAAGGAACTATTTCTAAATAGTTCCAAAACACCTCCTTACTATTAACCTTTCTTATTCCCTACTCCTGATGTGAAGTTGGCTAAAAGGGAGGTTGAAGCATTAGAGAACCCTAATTAAAGTAAATTTTGAAAAATCTAAGGCTACAATGTGATTATCAACTTGGGATGCAATGCATAAGCAACTCTTCTGTTTTTATTTCTTTTTTTTAGAATACTCATATAAAATAACACAATTAAATGCATTATTTTCTTAATATATGTAATTAGATTTGTTCTTATTTCTCCCCCATCCACAATACTTTGCCCACTCTTTATACCCTCTTTGTCTCTACTTCTCTACTCCACATTGTCTCATTTTCTACCTTCATGTTACAACTGTCAACATCTTACACACACACACACACACACACACAAACACACACACACAAACACATACACACAGAGAGAGAAAGAGAGAGAGAAAAACAGAAAGTAAATTAAATTTTAATCAACCTATGTGAGAAAGCATAAAAAATTTGTCTTTCAGAATCTAGTCTATTTTGTTTAACATAATATTCTAGTTCCTTAAGTTTTCCTGCAAAGGTTATGAATTTAGCTTTTTTATTGTGTATATGTGTTATGTTTTGTTCATCCATTCATCGATTGGTTTTCTCCTTGTCTGGTTCCATTTCTTTTTTTCTTGTACATCATGCACATGGATATACAGGTAATATATCATATGTGTGTTTGTTGGCCTAATATATTTTGCGCATTTGTCCATGAGTGAATCATAAAAGTGGTTCTCTTTTAAAAAATTTTATCAACTTCTAAGTAAATTTCTATATGAGGTGCTAAAGTTCACATCCATGCCAATAGTGTATGTAGGCTTCTTTCCACCCAATTTCATATCAGAATTTGTGGGAACTTTTTTAAATAAACTTATGTATTTATCTTTTGGATTACAATATAATTACATCATTTTTCCCTTTTCCATTTTCATTCCTGTCTCTAAATATTCTTATATAATGCTCCTTGTTCTTTTTCAAATTCATGGCCTTTTTTTCATTAATTATTGTTGTATAAGTACAGAAAAGCTTATACAATGTTTTTTGTGGGTATATACTTAGGGTGGGCCATTTGATATTAGATAACCTGTTGTACTTCTTTCTGTTGAACACTGTTTCTCCAAATGTCAGCCTCTTTTAGTTTTCTGAGATTTTTATGTAGGGCTGAGGCCTTGTGGCCTTCCCCATCTACATTGGAAAGATTATTAGCGCTTTCACTGTTCAGGTCATGTTAAGACAATCATGGTGGTGAGACTTCAATGAGTATATTTCTGACATTATTATGAGGCATAGTCACAGCAAACTCCTTCATTGTCTGACTCTTATAACCTTTTCTGCTCATCTTCCATAATGACCCCTAAACCTTAGATGTAGAAGTTGTATTTTAGATGTATCCAGTAGGACTGTATTCCACAGCTTTGTATTTTTATTGGTTGTAATTTTGTGTGATGATGTCTTGCTGTAAATATAGGCATTCTGATTTGGGTGAGAAAGAATCTCAAAAGTATTCTCATTTTAATTGCCATGATAACCAAGAATGTTCAATATGTTTTCAAATATTAACTTTTTATTTCAGTTACTACTTATACTTATTTCACTGAATAGTATGTGTGGTGATTCCTTCAGGTTTCACAGGCAGGGACAAAATGATCCATGTCAAGACAAGAATGAATCTCTACTCAGACAAATTTCATCATATCTGCTGCTGACTAATACTCCTAGAGTCAGGCCAAGGTAATTTTTGTTTAGCCACATTTAAGCACAGCACAATTTTGGAAAAAAAAGTCATACTCATATAACAATTAACTCAGTTCCAAGTTTACATAAACTTAAGTCATGCTTACATTGAGATTCTTTGCAAAGTATATCGGGCTTCTTTTACAGGAATGGGGATTCTTTACTCAGAGATAGTGCTCATGATTTAGGGCCTACCTAGGCTTGACTGAGGAAAATATAATATCTGTGGGTTTCAGGATTGCCCTGACCCTAATATAGAAGTCACTTAGGCTGTTGTAAAATATGAGTGACATCAGTCCTAATGATGGGTTTTATGGACTAAAAGTAATACTCACATTTTAACTGAAAAAGTATGTGATAAAAACATATATTGTGGGAGATACCAGCAGAGTTTGTCTCATCAAACAGCAAAGTCACCAGATTATAAAACTATATCATTTCTGGCATTCCAGGAAGAAAAGCTACATATTTCATTCTATTGAAGTTGTAAACTGTGTGTTTAACTTTCCTGGGTTCTCTTATTTGTGTGCATAATGCCTTTTTTGCTCTCTACAATATGTGCTTTGGGGAAGCAGCAGTTGTATGTATAAGGCGATCAGTACTGAAACACTCAACTGAGGTTAATCCAGTTCAGGGTGAAAATTTTACGGTGACAATCCTGATATGCCTATTTACCTACAAATTTTAGAATATTAGATCTCCTTAATGTAATGGTGATTGCTTGCTCCCTTACATGAAAGCAAGACAAAGCCATCTGAGACTTGAACATCCTTTCAAGGTATCTGAGAGCATTCATCTCCTATTGTCTCTGAGTGGCATTTCTATTATGCAGTGAGCACCATCTTCTGAATATGCAGATATCTCCCAAACACTGATTGGTTACAAAACATAGAATATTCTCATACAGTGTCATGTATTGTATGGGTTTGTAACGAAGCTGTTCTGTTGCCCTGCTGCCTTTGTTTTAGGAAATAATTTATGTAACAGAATCTCAGCTGCTTTGACAAGTTAAGGGGAGATTTACCAATGGAAAGGAATATCAGAATAAGAAACAGACGTATTGATGCTATCTACTGCACTGGTAGATATTTAGCAAGACAGATAGCAACAAAAGACAGGGTGGCCACTCTCTATCTATCTATTCAATATAGTACTTGAAGTTCTAGTCAGAGCAATAACGTAACAAAAAGAGATGAAGGGGATACAAATTGGAAAGGAAGAATCCAAGTAGTACTATTTGAAGATTATGATAGTATACATAAGAAACCTTCAAAATTCTACCAGAGAATTCCAACAGCTGATAAACAACTTAAGCAAAGTGGCTGGATATAAAATTAACTTAAACAAACCAGACACTTTCTCTTACACAAATGATACACAGGCTGAGAAAGAAATCAGGGAAATAACACCTTTCATAATTGCCACAAATAATATAAAATTTATTGATGTAACTCTACTCAAGCAAGTGAAAGATCTGAATGACAAGAACATCAAGTCACTGAAGAAAAATGTCTAAGAAGACCTCAGAAGATAGAAAGCTCTCCCATGCTCATGGATCAGTAGGATTAAAATAGTGAAAATGACCATCATAACAAAAACAATCTACAGATTTAGTGTAATTCCCATCAAAATCCCACCACAATTCTTCACAGATATCATAAAATCTATTCTTAACTTCATATTGCAAAACAAATAAACAAACAAACAAAAAGCCAGGATAGCCAAAACTACTCAGTACGATAAAAGAACTTCTAGAGGAATCACCATCCCTGATCTCAAGCAATAATACAAAATAATAGTCTAAAAAACCACATGCTATTGATAAGAGATAGACAGATTGACCACTGGAATAGAATCAGAGATGCAAATATAAACCCTCAGATATCTGGACACTTGAATTTTGACAAATTAGCCGAAACCATACAATGGAAAAGAAAATATCTTCAACAAATGGTGCTGGTCTAACTGACAGTCTAAATGTAGAAGAATGGAAATTGACCTATATTTACCACCTTGCACAAAATTCAAGTCCAAGTGGATCACATATTTTGAAAATATATCAAAATATTCTTTTAAAGGGGAAGGCATTTCATAACTAAACCTGAACAAAATAAAATACCATTATTTTATGTAAAATATGCAAATAATAAATTATTCATACATGGTAGAAAATGAGTTTTTGTTAAATATTCACAT